TCATAGTATATCATAGTAAAATCCTATATAAAAAAATAATATCCGACCTAATTGAGAATATAATTAGAATTTTACAAAAAAATAATAAAGATCGTGGAAGCCCTGAAATATTTGAACCCGATTAAGGAGTTTATATTAAAAATACACAAAATCCAAAACTTCAAATAAATTTGAACAACCCGTGTACAGGAATTTCGACGAGTTGAGCTCAAATGTTGTTTTTGAGGGCTTCCAGGTTTTTAGGACGATCATTATAAACCTTTGACTTCAGGTATCCCCACAGGAAAAAATCACAAGGTGCCAAAGGTGGAAATGCTTGAGAGAGTACACGAATCGTTTAAAAAATGACTTGCTCAATGCTTGGAGTGCGAGGGGCATTTGGGCTATACTTTGTTTAAATTTATTTAAAACTTAAACTTCCCTTCCTCCTCTTTCGTACTTGCCTACTCTTAACCCTCTAGCACCATTAGGAACGGACCAATCTCCTCTTCAAATCCATGCGTCCGCCGCGCGCCACCCTGTACAAGTAATTTCGAACAAAAAATTGTCATGAAAAGTTGATAAAAAGTTGATAGTTCCTCTTTCGAGTAATAAAACCACAAAAATAAATCAATATTCTTTACTAAATTTTCACAACAGCAACAACAACAATAGTAAATGTTCACTAAAACAAACTTAAGTTAATAAGTATTTCCATTAAATAAATTTGAAAACTATAAAAATTGTTCAAAATGCCCTCCTCTTAGTTCAACGCATTTAAGACAACGTTTTCTTACGCTACTAACAACCCTCCGAAGTTCTGTTCTTTTTTGACAATGGCTCGTCCTTTAAACGAAAAAACTGTCAATTTCATCAACTTTAAATTTGACAAATAAATTTCAGAGCCAAGAAACAATAGCAACAATTAATTGACACATTTTATAGTACGTTCAGAATTAATTTTTAAATGTATCAATATGCTCAGGTGTTAAAACTAAATTGGTCTTCACGTGAATACGCGGTATTAAAATGTTTTTAAATTTGGGGGTTGACTTAAGAATGAAATTACCTTTAGGACGAGATGTCACTTGACCCCTCTTTCCATAAGAAAAAAAGATTCAAAATGGCGCCTAACTGTCATTTTCAAAATTTTAACTGTCATTTTTACGTCAATAAATAGTATTTTTACTACAATACAAACACCCCAAATTGCGCGACAAAAGCTCTTACCATTCAAAAGTTAAAGGGGGGGCGACAGACTTTGGGTCCTCACTGTATACAGAGTTGGGCAAAAGTCCGGAATAAAATTATTATCTTTTGAACCAGTAATTTAAACAAAAAACGCTGAAACACGTGAATTGATTTTATATTGGAGGGATTTGTTGCCAATAAAATTATTTTTTTTTCTTCAACCCCTTAGTTGCCACCCTACCCAACTTTATTTTTTCAAATGCAAAGGTATGTCGTGTGTCAATAAAAGGTCAATAAAAAAACCTGTGAAAAATGGAATCTAAAACATACCTTTTTTTTATTTTTTCTCATGTTGTTATTTGGAAATGGGCAAAAATTTCTTTTAAAAACAAAAAAGTTACAAATACTTAGTTAAAAAGTTACAAAAACCATGCGAACCTGTAGGACTTTTATTACATTTTTTTGAGAAATCAACTTCTCTCTCTTTGAGAAATTAAAAAAAAATGTCCTACAGGAATAAAATTATAAACCCGAGTTTCAATAAAAAATTGAAAAATAAATACTGCATTTTGCGTTCATAATTTTGCCTTAATACTTTACTGTAGCAAATGTTGCACCAAAACAAAGGTTAAAACAAAAAAAACAAGCACCCAAGCTTGCATTGCAGTAAATGGGAACAATTTTGAACATCTTGTATAAGTAATTGAACTGTTAAACTATTATTTTATTATCTCGATTTCTGTAAGACTTTTATTACATTTTTTTTTGAAATTAACTTCTCTTGTAACAGTGCATATGTGGTTAAAATTTGTCGGATAAGTTGCGAAACATCCTGTATAAAGGACATAATTAATCAAATAACAAATATGTACGAATTATTACTATCAATATTACAGGATGTTGAAAATTCGATAACTTTTGCGAAACTAGAAACCATACATCCCAGTATCATAAAAACTGAGGATTTATTTAAAATTCTTCAAAATTTATCAAAAAACATAGATAAAATTGAAAATTACCCATTGAACTAAAAAGAGACAAAATGTTATTGTTCGAAAAGCTTATCAAAATTTTATGTTATATTCTGGATAATAAAAGTACATATATATTCTACACGTACCTACAATGGACCCATTCGAATTTAATCTATTTTACCTCCACCCTATTCCTGTAAAAAGGGAGAATCAGTTTAGAGTAATAATTCCTGAAAATAAATTTATGATAAAAATAAATTGTACTATGCGTACATGGGCAATACATGCATTAAATTGGCTTCACATCCATACATCTGCGGAAAAGTCAACCTACGAGAAATTGATGATCAACCCCCTTGCGAAATATAAATGTTAGAGTTCAAACCAATACCCAACTGTCAATAATTACCGCTGAAGATAACGAGGCCAATATTCACAAAACTAGATGAATCCAACCAGTGGATAATACTCTTGCCTTCTAAAACGAAACTCAAACTAAGCTGTCAAGCCCAAGAAGAAATAATTTATATAAATGGCACCTATTTAACAGAAATTCCAGAGAATTGTAAATTATCAAAAAATAATGAAACGATTACAAACGATATATGCCAACAACAATTGAGGGAGAACCAATACTTTTCCCAAATAGTATAATCCAGAAGACGGCAACAGTAAGTTCAGAAAATAAAGAAATTACCTTAAGAAGAATCAGCTTAGATGAATTGGATACTTTGCGACAGAGCGTATTATCAAACAACCCGGAATTGACCACGGAAATGATTTCCAAATCCCCCAGTTTTTGGACAATTTTACTTGATTACCTATTAGTAAAAATTTTTTGATACTTCATCTCCAACTATATTAGAAAACGTCTGTCCGGACGCAGAATCAATCCAGATGTCATGGATCTTCAAGAAGTTCATCTTCCTTAGCTGTCGCCCTCGGAAGCTGAATCTTCAAGGGGAGAAATTATCTCACCTATAATGATGACTTCCATAATAAAATTGTGGAATGGACATTTTATTGTTATAAATAAGAGTGTTAGTGGTTTTTGATGCTTTTAGCCATTGTAGTAACATCAGTCCGTAAAATTAATTGTCGGTATTTTCAAGTTGTAATAAATAGTAGAAAATATTTTTTTAGAAATATACTTTCCGTGAGTTAAAAGTTAATTGGTAAAAAATGCTGATTTTTGATTTTTTTAACAAACCTTGTATGACATTTGTCATACAAGTAGTTGCTTGTAGTTGCATTTTGGGTTTTGGACCATACAGAGCTTTTTATAAAGAACAACTATTTTTTTGAAAACCTAATAATAAAAAAGTGTCCCATATACATAGACACACTTTATACAGTGCTATGTCTGGTAATAATGTACTTAGAAATTTGAAATTTTGAAATATCTTTGAAATTATGAAATTACCTGAAATATATTTATAAAGGACTTAAAATCTCAATAGCCCAATGTCCAAAAATACTGGGTGATCCATTTGAAATAACAAATTTATAGCCGCTTTAAGTTAGTAAAGTTCGGTAAAAATTTAAACGCCCTGTAAATGGCCCATGAAAACTCAGTTTAGTTTTTTTAGTAGTGTCTGAACATTATACCCTTGAGAAGCACTGTATAGCCTAGAGCATTTTATACGGCAACCCTATTAGTACACGTTCACAAACATATTTCATTTAATAAAATATAATTTGGTAATAAATAAATTTAGGTATATAATAGTGGTAATTTGGTATATAATAGTTATCAAATCGGTGCACATCGACCTTACTTGGGTTCTTAGACTATATGGGCTGATGAAAATCCGCATGCCACTATTTTATCCAATCATCAACATCAGTTCCAATCGGTTCATAATAATATTTGGGCAGAAAATGACAATTTTCTGATTGAACCATTTGTATTGCTGGAACCATTGAATGGATAACTTTACTTGGATTTTCTTCAGGTCGCTTTTCGCTTTTGCACTTACCACTTGAAACCCGCGGAAACACGTACTTCATGCACGATGGGGCACCACTACTTCTGGTTTGTAAGTACTGGTTTACTGCTAAAATAAAACATGAATTCATTTATCATCGTTTTTCTCGTAAACAGTGAATTTTATCGACAATTGAGAGGAGTACATTTTTTTAAGTTTAAGGTTCAATATCCATATTTATGTTTATTAAGTCTTGATGGGTGTTAAGGTATTAAGGCGTGAACCTTGATCAAAGATTTGCTTCCAAATCGATAATTCAGGACATCCGTCGTGCTGATACCAAACCTACAGAATTTTTGATCGCTTTAAAGTGGTTCGAATCGAATGATCGATTTTTTGACCAATTTGAAAGCAAATTTTTGATCAAGAAAGGCCTTTTTCGGTGGGGCGTGAGTTCTGGACCACCCTGTTTGTACAGTAATCGAAATAACGAATTTATTCCATTTGGCGTTTCCATCCTGTATACCCACGTACTTAAAATCGCTTGGAAGTAGTTGTGTATTGAATATGTTAGAACAGAGATAGACCTAGCATATTTTCTCGGGTATTTAAAATATTTGAAAGTTTTTTTTAAGGTTTAAATAATTTATTTAAATAACTAGTTTTAATACCTACGCTTCAACTAAAGCTATAAACTACATCGCTTATTTTCGTACGTTTTAATACAATTTATAAATACATTTTTCAATGAATAATTTCTATAGTAATTTATTTATAACAAATACAAAAATTAGTCATGACATTATACAGTTTAACAATTATAACATTATAGATGAGATAAATTCTTATTTATTTTAATTTATTAAAGTAACAAGTAATTTTACAAAAAAAAATAAAAATAAACTTCATCAGAAAAATACATTTTCTCAGAAAGAGTATTTTTGATTAAGAATTTATTTAGTAAGAAAATATTTATGAGCCATCTTGCCCATAACACCCACAACGCCTATTATGCGACTTTTTAGCTTTAAATCTTTTAAGGTAAAAATTCAAATCATAGAAGAAAGGCCGCTTATCCGGATTCTTGTCCCAACATTCCAACATTAACTTATAAACATTGTCTGGAACGTAATATTTCTTAGGATTTGGCATACGATAGTTTTCCCTTAACATATTTGTTAATTTATCAATGGAGATGCCCTTGTAAGGCTCTCTCCCGTAAGTCAAAATTTCCATTAGCAATATTCCAAATGACCAAACGTCCGATTTTATTGTAAACATTTTATTAAAAAGAGCTTCAGGCGCCGTCCATTTTATAGGGCATATTCCTGTGTAACTTTTGTATAATTCACCATTTGCAAATTCTGAATCTCCTATTACTCTAGCCAGTCCAAAATCGCCTATTTTTGCGCGGTTATTCTCGTCCATTAAGATGTTCCTTGCAGCTAGGTCCCTAAAATTGAAATATTTCAGGTTCAAATTAACTCAAATTTGGAAAGTTTTGTAAAATATAGGGTGTCCCAGATGTACAGGGTGGTCCTCTAAGAACGGCTCTCGGCCATATCTCGCAAACTAATTGTGGTAGAGACTTGCAGTAAAAAAATCTTATGACTAAATCGACCAAAAGAAAATGCTGGAGGTCTCTAAAATGGGTGCTAGGGGGAGTATCCGTCATCTTGATTTTTAAAAGTCATTTTTTTCAAAATTTTTCTAAATGAAGGTATCAAAAATGTGTTTTATTTTGATAGTTAAGATAATTTCGATTATTTTTTGTTATATATTTTTGACTCTATCTTTTAAAATAAAGTAGTGGGGTGGTTTGAATATTTTGACAAATAAATGTTAATAACTTTTAAACGGCTGAACTGATTTTCAAAAAAATGAAATTGTTGAAAAGGGCTTTTTTTGTGAAAACAAGTCTGTGAAAACCGCACCTCGATATCCCCTTCCTAACCTATAATATATCTAAAAAAAAAGAAAAAAATCAAGAAAATGGGGACATTTTTGGTGCACAACCAATATAAAATCTCTAACTAGCGTTGTTCCATCCACAAAAATAATCAATTTATTAATAATCTTTGAGTATGATATTTAGAAACACCAAGCTAAGTAATATTCATTCAATAATTATTGGATTTTCCTTCTATACGCACTAGTTGAGAACAAAAGAAATAACCATGCCATGGAAAATAAAAAAAACAAAAAATCTAACGAACTAGTCTAGAAAAATGAGCTGGGCATCCATCGGGTTGGAAATACATATTTCTTCGAGTTTCCAGACGAACATCTTCCAATAGCCCAGGAAATTCGTTACGAAGAAAATTTAGATATGTTTGTCCGTGAGTCGCCCATTAATAAACCAGGGAACAACAACTGTCACCTAGTATACCACACTACGCGTTGATACCAACGTCCTTAATTATTCAGGACCTGCTGCGTCCAGTTTTTTGGTTTATTTATTTTCCACGGCATGCTTATTTCTGTTGTTCTCAACTAGTGCGTATAGAAGGGAAATCCAATAATTATTGAAAGAATATTACTTAGCTTGGTGTTTCTAAATATCATACTTGAAGATTATTAATAAATTGATTATTTGTGTGGATGGAACAACGCTAATTAGAGGCTTTTATATTGGTAGTGCACCAAAAATTATCCATTTTCTTGTTTTTTTTTCTTTTTTTAGATATATTTTAGGTTAGGAAGGGGATATCCGGTTTTCACAGATTTGTTTGGCAATTATTTGACTATTTTTCTCCAAAGAAAAAGTTATATCGTTGCATTTAAATTTTTTGAGAAAATGGGTGTTTTTTGAAGTAATGTCGAAAAACGCCATCTTGCGGCCAAGCAAGTAATTAAAATAATATCTTATATAGTGTAAATTATAGACCAAAAAAAGCCCTTTTCAACAATTTCATTTTTTTGAAAATCGGTTCAGCCGTTTAAAAGTTATTAACATTTATTTGTCAAATTAATCAAAAGACCCCCACCACTTTATTTTAAAAGATAGTCAAAAATATATTACAAAAAATAATTGAAATTATCTTAACTATCAAAATAAAACACATTTTTGATACCTTTATTTAGGAAAATTTTGAAAAAAATGACTTTTAAAAATCAAGATGGCGGATACTCCCCCTAGCGGCTATTTTATAGACCTAAAAATTATTTCCAGCATTTTCTTTTGGTCGATTTAGTCATAAGATTTTTTACAGCAAGTCTTTACGACAATTACTTTGCGAGATATGGCCGAGAGCCATTCTTAGAGGACCACCCTGTACAATGACATTTTAAATTTGTCGCCATTTTTTTATGAAAACAAGCATAGAGATATTTATTTTCTGCCATAAGTACCTAAATATTTAGTTCAGTTATGGAAAAGAACACGATCAAATAATATAGGTAGAAATTGTGAAATTTTACTTTGCTATTGTAAGAAACATTTAATGACCGTGTTGTGTCTAAGAGAGGTAATGTCAATTGGCCACCAAGATCATATGATTTGATACCGTTAGACTTGATTTTGTGTTGTTATCTTAAGGATGATTAAAAATGGATTATATCGATTTATCGATTACAAAATAATCAAAAGCATATTTCGAGTGAAGTAAATTTCATCAAAGTTTTGGGCCAGTTGAGTTGAAAGCGGGTATTTAAAAACTATTATGAGCCAGTTTTCTGAAAGCTGCATGTTGAAAGACAATTATTGAAGCAGTTGAAAGATTATTTAAAAATAATTCAAATATTAATTTATTTAGTTGAATCTTCAATCTAAACCTTGAAACATATAAAATACAATATTACCTATGGACAATTTTCTTAGATTCCAAATATTTCATGCCTGAAGAAATATCATAAGCTATCTTCATCAATTTCTCGTAGTTGTAAGCTCTTCCATCGCCTTCTTTCAAAAAACTAAGCAAACTCCCATTTTCCATATACTCCAACACGATGTAAATTGATTCATCGTGACTACAAACACCGATCAATTTGACCAAGTGTCTATGGCGTAGTGTTTTCATGATAGCCGCCTCCTCGAGGATTTCCACCATTGACATTTGTTGAGTTTTCTTGAAAACTTTCACGGCCACCTCACCTTTGTATTTATGTGCGGCCAATTTGACTTCACCGAAATTGCCGCTACCCAGATCTCGAAGCATACACAAATCATTCTGGTCTATTTCCCAATCATTTTCATCAAAACTGGTGCAAGGCTTTGTCAGAACGTGGTTCAAACCATGAGCAGTTCCTATAACCGGAAACGATTTGTTAAAAAAAACAATCGATTTATACACATTAGATTTGTTTTAATAGGATTATATTTAAATGGTTATTGAAGAAAGCACTTTAATATTAAAAAAATATTGTACTTACTGGAATATGTCCTGATCAAATCCTCGAGAGTGTTGAATATTCTGTTACTCGATAGAAAATATCCACCGTTATCTGATTTTTCGATTTTGTAGTGATTGACGTCATAATTGTACGGGTCACTTTGTGAAACAACCTTAGTGGAAAGCGTGTAACATTCGGGAAAATTTTTCGATGGACGGATTAAGAAACTGCCTATGGGATATTCCACCGATAGAAGAAGGTGTTCCGCCTCTTTGCGAGTTATGTATTTGAAGAACCAGCTGAAAATAACAATCCAGTTCTAAATATTAATAAACAAAAAAAACGGATATTTCCATTAAAAAAAAATATTATAATCCATTTCCAAAATAGTAGGCACTAAATTCTCAGAAATGGTTGTGAAGTTTTTGCGATAATGGGTCTCCCCCAGTGGCGTACGGAAAATATCTTGGGCTACAAGGTGGTTCGACGGTAAAATCAGCAGGAGACTAATAATTAGCAGAGCAAATATTATGTAATAAATAATATTATATTTATATACAAATAAAATGAATACTCCTAAAATACAAATATGAAATTAAATAGCATTTCATATTTAATTTAAATTATTATAGTTGGTCCAAAAATTGAAATCTAACTATAATTACAATATATCGAATTGAATGCAGTTAAAAAATTTTAATGTTACGCTCATGAATTTTATCCAGACCTATGTCAACGGTTCGGCTAATATACAGAGTTGGGCAAAAGTCCGGAATAAAATTATTATCTTTTGAACCAGTAATTTAAACAAAAAACGCCGAAACACGTAAATTGATTTTATATTGTACGGATTTGTTGCCAATAAAATGATTTTTTTTTTCTTCAACCCCTTAGTTGCAACCCTACCCAACTTTATTTTTTCAAATGCAAAGGTATGTCGTGTGTAGGGTCATTGAAAAGCCCGTGAAAAATGGAATCTAAAACATACCTTTTTTTTTATTTTTCTCATGTTGTTATTTGGAAATGAGCAAAAATTTCTTTTAAAAACAAAAAAGTTACAAATACCTTTTTAGTGCTATCGACGTAGCAATGTTGAAAATGCCCTTCACCATCTACTTGACAGGCTCCCAGCCGTTGGTAAAACTTAATATCGATAGCATATCTTTAATTCTGAATGACTTTTTAATAAAAACAGGCGAACCTTTGGTAAAAAAAAACTTGTACAAAAATGCAACACCTGTTTTCCTTTTTGAAGTTCACTGATCAACAATGGCTTAGATTTAAACCCATTTTATGTTTTTGTTTTTTCTTAAAACATAAATTTCAACGAATGTTGTTGCTAAATTGCCTTATCAGTTTTAAACGGTAAATCAATAAAATTTGGTGTGCTGCCTGACCAGGCTCGCCTGCTTTTAATAAAAGTTCATTCAGAATTAAAGATAGGCTACCGATATTAGGTTTTACCATTGCCTTGGAGCCTGTTAAGTAGAGTAAGCCTTAATTCACACGTCGATACCACTAAAAAAGTATTTGTAACATATTTGTTTTTAAAAAAATTTTTTGCTCATTTCCAAATAACAACATGAGAAAAATAAAAAAAAAGGTATGTTTTAGATTCCATTTTTCACGGGCTTTTCAATGACCCTACACACGACATACCTTTGCATTTGAAAAAATAAAGTTGGGTAGGGTTGCAACTAAGGGGTTGAAGAAAAAAGAATCATTTTATTGGCAACAAATCCGTCCAATATAAAATCAATTTACGTGTTTCAGCGTTTTTTGTTTAAATTACTGGTTTAACAGATAATAATTTTATTCCGGACTTTTGCCCAACCCTGTATACATCTCCCTCTACCTTTCGGCAACTTTAATATGTTGTTCTTTTCTCTTCCTAAGAAAAAGCTCGATGAACGCAAGGTTGCCATTTATAAGTTTGAGACGCATAATATTATTAAATTTTTGCATTTCTTTTAATAAACAGTTGTTGAATACATTAAATTAGCATAACGACACTTTAATGAATAAAACACGTTGTCCGTTATTATATGGCTATTTAACAGCTTATAAATGATTTAAATAGAAGATACTTAAATATTTAGAAACACAACCTGACAACAATGTTTTCGTTTTAAAGCGATAATATTTCCGAGAATTTAGCGCCTACTATTTTGGAAATGGACTATATTTGGATGGACTATATCTATTTTTTATTTTAATTTTTTTGTTTGAACTTGTATTACGTGTCCATTGTGAGAGTCTAAAATCAAAGCAAAAAGTAATAAGCAAATAAAATGAGACCAACAATGAGACGGCTGTTTACAAGAAATGTATCATTTCTTATCTTAATTATTATTTAATTATTATATTTAGACATATTTATCATCTTATATTTTTAACTATACAGGGTGTGTCACGATGAGCTTAAACTGTCTGTATATTGGAAACTTATAATATCGTACAAGTACTACAAGTATATCTTCAAAATTATTAGGTTTAGGTATAGGGAAGTAAACATGAACTTACCATAAGGTATAAATATAATTTTGACCGCTGATTTTATTAAAATTAAAAAAAATGGGTGGTTCCATTTAAAAAATTAAGAAATTTGATATTTTTGATCTTCAACTTTGTACAATTTTTATACACACTCTGTATAAAATAAAAAGTTTTTCAACACAGGTCCGAATGTCTTTTACCTTGCTAGTAGCCCCCCGTACAGAAACCGTTTCCATATCTTTAAAGGGGATCCTCGCAAAAAAATAATTTATGAAAGCCTGCATCGGTCAAATTTTTCTAAAAATTATAATAAATTATAATTAAATTATAACCAAAAAAGTATGCATTTTTGGAAAAAGTGTTTTAGACAAAAGTATCCTGAAATTTTACGTAGATTTCGAAAATATATTACGAAAATATACAGGGTGTTCCATTTGAAATAACAATACTACTTCCGGTACAACCGGAAGTGGTACGACTGTCAAAATATTTTTAAGAGATTCGTCTTATTGCATAACATATGTATACCAAATTTTATTAAAATCGGATAAGTAGTTTCCAATATACAGATAGTTTAAGCTCGTCCTGACACACTCTGTATTGTATAAGCATTAGCACTTCTATTTTAAAATAATTCAATCAAATTATTTTATATTCATTTTAATTGATTAACATCGATATTTAGAAATTTGTTCACCTTGCACTTGTTGAAATTTACAAAAAAATTAAATTTTACCATAAATAAACATAAACAAAAAGTATGGTAATAAAATTATAACGCAAATATACACTTACTCTTTTCCTTTACAGCTCATACACTTACACTTTGGCATTTTTTGTACAGTTAGTAGGCTTAGTACACTTTGTAAATAATACGTCACATAAAATATATGTATGCACGTATAATTTAAAAGTTGAAATAAAGTGTTTCAACGACAGATGAGTTATAGGTTATGAGAAAAATGATGAAAGAAAAATGCAAAATGCATATTGAAGGAGTGGGAATAGGAAGAAGTGGGAGTGGGAGTAAAAAGTTCAAAAGTTCAATCAATCACACTTTGATAATACTATTGGTTCTAGATAATTTCGTAAATAGTCTTTTGTTACATTATCTCATTTTAAAAAAAGTATAGACAATTTTTTCGAAGAAATTGAATAAAACATTAAACAAGTTGTATTTAAATAATCAACAATATAATTATTAGGTATAGATAGATATTTCAAGTTGTTATCCTATGAAAATTTTGTCATTTTTAAGAAACCAATAAAAATTTATGTACAGGGTGGTCCGTAAGTAAAGGTACAAAGTGAAGTGGAAAATTATCGGCCTAAAAATATTACGATCCAACACCATTTGCTAGAATAAAATATTAACAATAAAAAATATACATGATGGAAAAGTTGAAATAGAAAAAATATTTTTTACAGTAGCTTGAAATACTTTGGATGTACGAACATGAAAATTTGAAGATAAATGTTTTAAGATACGGGATATTATAATAATTTAAGATTTTCTATTTAGCAATATTTTCTACAGTGTGCCACATGAGCTTTGTTATTGATGTAAATGAACGTCGTCTCAGCTTTTATCTTTATTGAATCGTTTTATGTATTGTAAAATATATATAACAAAATATCATGTGAATAAAAGATATAAATGTCGTTAGTTTCTAAAGTTTCCGTGATAATTGCATTTTGAGAACCAAAAATATTTAAGATTATTTTAAAATGTAGCACGGGGTAAACACTTTTTTAGGCAGTTTATTAGTTTAGAATTGTTTTATCAAATTTAAATTTATAAATGTAATGCAATAATGTGCAAACTTGAATTTTCAACGTTTTCAGGAAAAAAAATCAAAAAAATATTTTTATAAATAAACAATATTGAATATTTGAAAGTTATTTTTAATTGTACACATTTTTTCCTTTTGATAATTTTCGATATTGTCATAAATTAAGGTAGGTACTTTACTCTTGAGTAAAGGAACAAGAGTGCGATGGAAAAGTAGGAATGTTTGTAAAATTTTATTTTCCTTATCTCTCGTAATATTTTAAAGTTCTTAAATTATTTTAAATCGGGACTTACACTGGAACAAAGAGGTTTAAAAAAAATGAAAAAATTATTTTTCAGTACAATCAATATAAGTGTCCTATATGACCATGTTTTAACGTTTTAACTATACAAGGTGAGTCGTAAGGAATCGTACAAACTTTAACAGTGTATAGAGTGAATATCATACGACCATTAAAAGTTCCATCCGCCTCTTCTCTAAGGAGATACAGGATGATTTATAAATTTTGACGAAATTTTCTTTTGTTTATATCTTTATGGTGGTTATTTCAATTTGGTTCATTTTTTTGGTAAAAGTATACATTTTGAACCAGCAACACACTGGCATATTCAAAATAAAAAAATTTCATGACCGTCTTCAATAAAAAAAAAATAAATATTTCCAAACTTAATATTTCACCCTGTATACACTTTTTCTAAATTTTCATTTGGTTAATGTAGAAGGTATAAGTAACTCATAAAGCCTGAGCATCGGAAATTTTTGCCACACTTTGTTTAATTTGTCAATTATCAATTAACTTTTAAGAAAAATTACACATTTAGGATAACCGAATAATTTACATTATATTAATATTTTCTATCGTACACATTTTAATGAAAATTAATAAAAACGACTAATTACATATTCCTTTCTATGAAAAAGTCCTAAACTCATAATGCGTAGAAGGCCGATGGGTGTTCGAGCAGCGGGTCTAAGTCTAAAATAAGCGGTAGAGCCTATTGTCCTACATACAAAAGGATAGTCCAGCTCGCGTAGCGAGCGACACCTTGTTCATTCAATTTTGTTTAATTGTCAATAAACTCAAGCGCGCATCGAGCGAGAATCGGACATGCAACTGTGGGATATTAAAACAACTATTTAAAGAACTTAAAGAATTTAAAGCGTTAAAATAACTAATGAACTAATAACTAAATGAACTAATGAACACGTCATTTTGGCAATTTTTGTTGTCTTAAAGAAAAGACAGACGGGATTTGGTGAAGAAATATCAAAGATTAATTTACATCCGAATTTATTTTTATTAGTCTATTTTTTATTTTAATTTCTTGTTTGAACTTGTATTACGTGTCAATTGAGAGAGTCCAAAATCAAAGCAAAAAGTATCAAATTAAAGCAAATAAAATGAGGCGGCTATTTACAAGAAGTGTATCATGTCTTATCTTAATTTTTATTTAATTATTATATTTATATATATTTATCATTTTATATTATTTACTATATTGTATCAGCATTAGCACTTCTATTTTAAACAAATTCATTAAAATCATTTATTATTCATTTTAATAGATTAACATCGATATTAAGAAATTTGTTTACCTTGTACTCGTTGAAATTTGCAAAAAAATTCAATTTTACCATAAATAAACCACAACAAAAAGTATGGTAAAAAATGATAACGAAAACATACACTTACTCTTTTCCTGGGTTGCTGAAAATTGCTCGAAAACAATTGTTCGAAATCATTTGCTCAAAAAAATGACTTGAACATTACTAACCATTACTTAAATCATATTTTAACAATTTAATATTTAAAATATACTGCTCCACAAAAGTAAAAGAAATTCACAAATATTGAGATTAGTTTAAAAGTTGCAGGTTTTTTGATCGCCAAATTTAGTATAAGTTGTAGAGGTAGGGGCAAAAAATCCAATCAGATATGGTAGAAAATATTTAATTTCGCATATTTGAAAATTTGGTACCCAAAAAGTCTGTAACTTTTAAAATAATCGCAAAATTTGCGAACTTCCTTAACTTTTGTGGATCAGTTTATTTTAAGAAGAGTTTTTAAAAGTAATCAATCAATAATCAGTTAGTATGGGTAGGTTGAACTGTTTTATTCCTAACAAGCAACATTATCAGAGCAGTTTTGTTAGTATTCAGTTGTGGTATATATGGTATACCACGGTCGATGGCAGGTTAGACGTTTAGGGAAAACGGAACGTACGATAGTCGTAAAAATTTGGTAATTTAAGTAATTGGTCCTTCTCTATCGATTTAAAATATTTTCAACGCTGCGGCGTTGCCACTTCTATCGAAAAATAGCAGCAACCTTGTTATTTTAAATGAGACACCCTGTATATTTTTACATTTTTTGCTCCGCTATTGCTTTCCGATTATTTCTGTATAATACTTCTCTATACCTATCCTTAGCCCTTTTCAAGAAATTCATTATTTTATTTAATTTTTTATTCAAAACATAGCTCCAATTAAATGTTGATTAATGCGGTATTTAGATTAGGAGAAAGCTGAAATTTTGGGATTAGCTTACAGATGCACTAGGTATTAGTTCGCTATAAACGATTTTTTTTTTATTTATACAGGGTTGTTCAAAAATTGTCATTTTATCGCTAGATATACAAATGCTAATAAGTTAATTTTTTTAAATAAGACACCCGGTATATTTTTAAATATTCAAAAAGATAATTAAATTCTCTTTCAAATGGTATATCATGTTCCTATACCTAAATAATCAGGTTTCCGAAATAAAAGCAAATTTCTATAAAAATCTGATTAATTTAGCGAATTTGTATTAGGTAGCTGTGAAATCATGAAATGTCATCAAATTTGAAATTTAGTGGGATGACATTTAATGGTCATTTAATGGAAGGAAATAATTATTCAAATGTTGCTATAATTTTGTCACATTGTCCATGAAGAATATATAAATTCATAAGAACAGTTATATACAGGGTGGCACATTAGTATGGAAAAGCTCAATATATCTGTTATTGTAGAAGATATCAAAAAAACTTCATTACAAAAGTTGTAGATCTTTTTAAGCTGCATATTTTAAAATTAGTTACATTTATACAGAGTGTCCCGTTTTTCCGTAATAGATCAAACTTATACTTTTTTAAATGGAATACCCTGTTTTTTATTTAAAAATTGAATTAAGTTCGTTTTCAGCTTTCCAAAAATATAATTTTTTATAACGTTATACTGAGTTGTTTAAACGTTATGACCACTTTTCCACGAAAATCGTACTAAGTTTACCACTCTGTAGAAACTAAATGGATTGAATTGAAAATAAATTTCAGGTTTCACAACATTGCGAATATCCTCAAAATGTACAAAATGAATATTTTTTGTTAATTTTAATCATACTGCTTACAGGGTGGATCCAAACGCAAAAGTAACATTTTCTCTGTTAATTTAAATGGATCACCCTATATTTTATATCGTTTACAGGAAGTATTTTTGAAGTACTTTCATTCTTAATAACCATTCCCTATACCTAAAGTTAACACTTTTCGAGATATTACAGTTAAAAAAAATTAGAACTTAAAATTGAAGAACAAAAAATTAAGCTATCTTTTTTTATAATGACCGAAGTTCACATTAATGAAAGAATTAAGAAATGCCAATTAAACACTATCTGGTAAACATTGTCTATACCTAATAAACATTCCCTGTACCTAAATTTGATATTTTTCGAGATATTTTAATATTCTTTAATTGGACTATCACCAGATACTAATCGCTAATCGTGTAGGTACTAATAACTTTATTGTGTCTATTGCGACTTATAACAATTGCTAATACCAATTATTAATAATAATTTGGTCCATTTTGTTCATTTAGAATAGTTTTTTTACATTCTGTCTTTTCGTATGCCGCGGAAGCCGTACGATTGAGACAATCTAGACATTTTTCAGAGGATTTTTTGTTAGGTTATATTCCTCCAGGATATCTCTCAGGGAAAATCCTTTTGGCAAGCCAACAAATTCTCTAAACTTTCTCCCAATACCCAAATCATAACCATCAATAATGAATGATGTTCAATAGAATGTTCAATAGAAAAAATCATTTTGTATTCTAATTTTTACAAATTGTGGAGGCTATACCGACAAATATGTAATACCAGATAGTATTTAATTGACGTTTCTTACTTCTTTCTGTAAAGTGT